TGGATCTGGCTTGCCAATTGATTCTATCTGGCCCATAGCAGGTCCCTCAGACCCACCCAGCACAGCTGTGGGAGGCATCCCTGGCTGTGGTGCATACAGCCAGTCCTGCTACCCTTACATGTCGAGGTACCACCTGGCACAGAGCACAGTTCTCTCTCCCTGTGTACAGCTCTCGGTCATGCCAGATGCTGTAGTTTGTAGGGCAGGGGTGGGGTGGCACCCAGACTTGGCGTCCTAACAGCCCCTTTGGCTGTGGTTCCTTCTGGCTGCTGCTGCCAGCATCTCTGCTGCTGCTGAATCTGGACCCGGTGCTCAGGCACCCATGCCCATCCACCATGCACACATTGCCAGGGTTGCTAGATGGAGTGGGCAGGGTTTCCATGGAAACTAGCCAGACGGTGTCATGCCGGGCCTGGGCCAGAGCTGCAATCTGCTTTCCGCATATCCCTACAATGGGCACTGGTTCCATGGGCAGCAATCCTAGGCTTAAATCCATCTTAAAACCTGAGTAAAAGGTTTGCATGCATAGAGAAGTGGGGAGCTTGACTTGCAATCAATCGTGCTTAGCTGTAAAGTGAAGATATAGTCTGAGTAACAAATTGGGAGGAAAAGGGCCAGTGGTGCCACTGAATGCCAGAGGAAATTAAACACCTCACTGTCTTTGGAGCCTTTGAAAATATCTTCCCTTTAATAAACAGCAATAAAAAAAATTCTGCCTGACTGCCAGAAAAGTTAGAAATGCAGCAGGGAAGTTGGGGATAGGAGCAGAGAGGTGGAGCCTAGAGAAAGAAACTGAGAAGGGGCCAGTTAAACAAGAAAAAAGTTAGCTAGGTTTCAGTTAATTGAATACATATATCCAACATGCCTGCTGACCCATTGGTTGTGTGTGTGTGTGTGTGTGTGTGTGTAAAACTAGTGGGTCAGCAGGCATGTAGGAACAAGGATGAGGGAGGATGAAATGCAGTTCAGAAGGAAACATGAGATGGAAAGAGCAGGGAAAACAAAACAAAGAAGTAAGTATGAGGTAACTGAGATCCAGAGTAAAAAAACCCCTCCAAAACCCAAAAACCCCAGAAAACCACTGCTAAAAAAGCGACGTGGCACGCGTGACAGCAGTGTGCGCCACCAGGCTCCGAGCAGCTGGCTCAGCACCATTGCTGCCCAAGGAGTCCCTGAGAACCCCAGGTAAGGCTGCTTATTTTACCCGGGTCCCTTTGCTGTGCACCAGAGTGCATGTGCAAGGGTATGCCTGGGGACTAGTAGCAGCGGCACAAATGTGCCACTGCTATTTTGTCCTGCTGGAAATGTGCGCCTCTGCATGCATGCACTTGTGGGGACATGTCTCTCTTCGCTATTTTCCTCAATGATCAGAAGAAATCCTTCCTGTCTTAGGTCCACACATGCACCTGCATATCCATACATAAAAGCAATGATCTCCACAAGCAGTGCACTTTTGCTGAGGATTCTGCTTTTTCCAGCTGGTTCGAATTCTGTTACAAAAGCCAGTTTCTTCATTGACATGTGGCTAAGCTGACAAGTTTAACTGAGAAAGGTCCGCAATGGAATGCAGATACCCACATGCCAAAATAGCCAACATTCTCATTTTTAGGGCACTCACCTGGGAAACAGGAGACCTGAGTTCAAATCATCCATGTTTTACCCAGTGTGGAGCACAGACTTGAATTTCACTCTCCCATTGCAGATGAGTGTCTATAGAGTCAAATTCCTTCTACTCCACAAGCAATTACGCTACTTATGCAACATTTGAACAGCAGATCCTGAGAACAAGGGATGTTCACAGCAACATGCGCTGTTTCTATAGCCTGGTGGTTCTGGCACGTACTTGGGATGTAGATGCAAGGCCCTGATCTAAACCAGGCAGAATGGAGATGAGCTGAACTCCTATACCACAGGGGAGTGCCTTAACCATCAGCTGCTTGTTGGCTATCCTGCCGTGTGTGCACACATTTTAGATATTTCACTGGAAAACTGAGAAAGGTCTCAGGTTCATCCTGATGCAAAAAAGGAAAACATCTGAAATCTTGGCGTTCTGAGAGACAGAAAACTATTTTGAATCAGTTCAACTTTGCTCGGATCCTATTCTCTACCAAACAGCAAATACTACCACAATCTCACATAGATTAAATGCAATGGTGATGACATTTTGATCTGAAGTCAAAAATCACTAAGTTGGTGCAACAGTTGTGCAAACTGTTTTAGCTCATAAATGTGTTCTGGTGTTACATTACATCACCTGGGAACATGTTGTTAGCAGATATAAAGGTCTTCCACATGATGCCTCATAAGCACAGAGGTGGCTGTCTGAATTACTACCTACCTTTAGGATCAGCATGAGTTAACTATGGCAGACAGAACTCTTACCCCATTGTAATTGCTGTCTAAACCACAAGTTATATGTTCAACTGATTGCAAATGGATTAAATGTGCCACAATTTTCCAGGTACACTTTTGAAATATCAGGGATTATTTTGAACTAGTCCTCCTTGAACCAACCCAACGCTACATGTGGAGACCAGGCTTTCTGTGACTAATGTCTTGTCAGTCCTCCAGGCACCCCACCCTACACTATTCCTCTCCTATGGCACGGCAAGTACCTACGTTGGTAGGCAGCCACAGCTCTATTGCCCCAACCTGTATTGTCTGCACTTGACCCAGGTCCACTTTGCCCCAGTGTAACAGGAAGCCAAACCTCCTGTTACTTTAAGAAGACAGCAGCAGTAGGCAGCCCAGGAATAGAAGCTGCAAGCAGCGGGGTTAAGCCACTACAAAGAGAAGGGCAGGCTGGTCAGAAGAACAGAATGGGAAGCCCTGTAGATGGTTTGAGAGCCACCTGACAGGAAGGTGTGGGGCTTCAGAGGCACACAAAACCACTGAGACCAGATAGTCAGTTTAGCCTTACAGGCAGAGGAGTTCCTGAGCAGAATGGTTGCAGAAAGGGACTGACTAGCACCCAAGCTGTCCCCAAGAGGTGCAAGTAAATAGCTAAGGGGGACTTACAGCTCACACACAAATTATTGGTCCAGTGTGGGGAGAGTTTTGTTGTTATACAGCCAGTGGTCTTGCATTTATGTTCAGATTAAGACCCAGAGAACCATGTTGTGGCTATGGAGGAGGTATGGGGGCCAGATATGGGTGCCTGGCAGGGCACTCAGAAGCAGGCAACCTAGCCAGGGGTCAGGGACCTAGGGGCTGGTGTGCAGCATTAGGCTAGGCTGAGAGAATTAAGACCAGGGTCAGGCAGCCTGGCTAAGGTCAGGGATCCAGAAGGCTGTGGGCTAGTGCAGGCTGAGGCTGGGAGTGCCAAGGCCAGTTGGAGCAGTCTGGCCTGGAGTCAGGGACCCTGAGGGCAAAAGCCTGGGTAGTGGAAGCAGCCTGGCCTGGAGTTAAGGACCCAAAACCTGAGGGTTTGGGAGAGGCTACAGCTGCTGTGAGAGATCCAGGGTCCTGGAAAGCAGAAGGCTAGGGCCAGAGCAGGCTTAAGCTGAGAGGGCCAAAGCCTATGGTCAGGGAGGTGGGGGTGGCAAGGCCAGGGGCCAGGAGAACTTGGGAGAGCCTTGTCAGGCTTGACGTGAGACAGAACTTCCAGTGGAAACTTGAAGTACCATCTATGAGGCATGAGTCTGGCTGTAGGGGTGAAAGGAGGCCACAAATAGCCCTTAAGGCAAGTAGTGCTCAGAAGCACTGATGGAGCTAAGAGTAGGGGGGTACTTAGGGCATGAGAGTCAGGATGGAGGTCATGGTATAGGACAGACATGCTGCCCCCAAAATGGGAACCCTCAGGCAGCCTCCCTTTTTGCAATAAAATAATATTATAAAAGGCCTGGTAGGCAAGAGTAAAAGGGAGGGAACCCCAATGGGCTGAAGTGGAGGAGGAGCTGTGTGGTCACTAGTGGGTACCACAGCTGCTCCTGGGGCTTGGTCCTGCTACACTCATGCTGCCTTGGACATGTGGGGGGCATGGTTATGTGGATACAAGTGCTTCTATGTTCCTGACGTGCTAGCTGCTCTGAGGGGCTGCCCAATGTCCCTGTAGGTTTTCAACAGCAGTTCCCCCAAGGTGCCACCAATGGAAGCTGACCAAGTTTCAGGGCACCTCAAGCTGATCTGGGGTAGCTTGGGAAGGGAAGTGTCTATACGGGGAAACTTCTCCTTCTGTGTTCCAGGGGGTTGCTCAATATCCTGGCAGCTTTCAAACACCATTTGTCCTCAAGCCCCTGCTCAGTTTCATTCAGCTCCTGACAGTGGAAAAGGAAACACTAGGCAGCCACTGCAAGAGCACCCCAGCCTCCTGGGAAACCGGATGAGCAGGTACCCCTTTATCTGTCCAGCCACTCCACTCCCCCACCCCTCCCATCTCCAAATCAGCTTACCTGTGCCCTGCCATCACAAATGACATGACACAGATAAGCATCTTGGGGAAAACACTGTTTAAGAGTTGTGGAGGCTTTGGGCTGCTTGCAGAATACCAAGCTCCTCAGAAGCAAGGGCCCAGGCACCCATTACCTCCACATACACCTGCCCTCCTGTTCCAAGGGAAAGTCTTTTTAAGGTAGTAGGCTGAGGCAGAGACCTTGGGCACCTCTCCCCATGCCTCCCCACTGCAGAGTAATTCAAGCACATTTATGATTAGAGAAAGAAGTGTACGCGCACACACACACACACACACACACACCATTAACATGTTTAATATTTATCATATTTTCACAGCCATTAGTCATATTCATAAGAAAGTGATTTTCAGAGAGTGTAAAAAGATGCCAGACAGTTCAGGGAATTACCTCCCTTAGCCAGTCACTAACAATGAAAGCTTCCTAATATTGCTCCTCTACAATCCAGATGCATACAGAACAAGGCCAATTCAGCTTCCAATTCTGTTACGCTGCCAAGTTCTTAACTGAGGTCACCCAGAAGGTTCCACTTATGATCACTTTGTCATGTACATAAATTAAGACAGATACTACTGACAGAACTCCCGATTGGGTTAAACAAACTTTCTACAAACACTGCACTGTTCTCACTGGAGGACAAGCTGGCACAGGATGCAAGCTGTTTATTAGAACTGATACAAACATGAAGTGTGAGGCACCTTAAGCTCTTGGTTGCTGAAGCAGCTGACCTTTTGTCTCTCTAAACTGGTCCATGTTAGCATAAAGCTGCTGGTGTCTGACACTGTCGTTCTGTTCTCAGTCCTTTTTCACCCGACCACAGAAGTGGTCCATGGAATGAGAAACTCCAAAGTAATCTTCCCAGAGACGTGCTACTTTCACAGGCAGTAAACTGAAGGAGAGAAAAGGAAAAAGAACACACAAAGTATTTATATGGAGTTTTACAATTCACAAGAGCCACATACCTGACTAGCCCCATTAAAAGAAAATGTATGGCTTCAAGAATTCTGGACAAGCAGTCCGCATGGCATCCCCATGGGGATGACAAATCTCTAATTTACAGCCAGAAAAACCGAGGCAGAGGGGGTGATCCTTGGTGCCACAAAAGCTAGTCTGTCAGAGCCAGGATTACACATTGGGAACCCTAGTCCCCAAACAGGACACATTCTTTGATGTATTACTTCAGTCTCTACATGGCAATTTACTATCTTGCCAAGATCTTAAGGAAGTGGGAGACATCCCAAAGCTAATAGGCCTCCTACTCCAGCAACAGATAATTGATTTTGGAAGTCAGAAGTTTTAGAAACCGTCATTTTCTGGACTCAAGTCCATTATTGCCTAGTTTCAGTGCAGTATGTTCTCATGCCCTAGGCCAGTGCAGGGTTTGCAGAAGAGGTGGCAACAGCAATGAAAACCTAAAAATATTAACGTGTTTGTAAATAAAATTATACAGGGGAATGTTTTGAACAGTCATTTTATCCCTATGAGTAGTTTCTCACTTAAATACATGCAACTGTTGAGCAACATTCTATTATTTTAAACAGAAAAGGAGTTAAAGTAAGTTTTGGACCACCAATTGCTTCTAGGGGAGTGTCTAGCCTTCAGAAACTCAAAAGAAAGAGTTAAAGGGAACCACCTGACTGCATAAGGAGAAACTGGCCTTTAAAGTATTTTCCATTATCTTAAAGTGCGATTAAGCAGTGGGTGAATATCTCCAGCACTGGAGGTTATGTGCTGCAGCCTCATTGGACAGACCTCCAGAGTCAGGTAGCTGTATTTTGTGAAGGGGGTTTGCTCTGTGAACCCATTAAGTCTATGCCGTGTTATCTAATTTAACATCTGGTCATTGTTCTCTCAGCTCTTTGCCTTGGATTTTCAGCCAATGTTTAAAAACAGAAGCCTAAACTTTGGCTCCAAATCCATGTTTGTGCATCTAACCCACCTCAACTCTGCCAATTCTCACTCACCTGATTCACTACACAGTAGCATTACTACAGCAGTCCTCCATGCAATCAAGATAGAAGTCCAGCTGCAATTTTTCCTAGCTTACATTTTTTTAAAAAGAGTTTCTCCTTTATAAAGGATTTGGATACATTCAACAATAGGAAGGTATTCCCTTGTATAAAGTATGTTCAGGATTATGCCATGTAATACCCACTCTGTGGTAAGAGTTTATCAACATAAAAAGTGAACCGAAACACCCAGGAATCAGAGCATAAGTAGCAGAAACACCACATTTGACCAAGGAAAGGAAAACAACAAACACAAGAAACAAGGAAGATACCAATCCTTACTTTTTCACAGCAAATAAAATGCACACTAGTGCTGGGATTATCAAATACACTTGTTCCCGTAGAATAGCATTGACGATCGCCTCAGCTGCATACTCTGGATCCAGGATAGGAAGCAGACATGGAAACCTGTACAAGAGACATATGACTATGATGATTACCACGGTAACTGTCAAGTAGGGGTGTGCAAAGCTGGCCCCATTCGATTTGGATTCAGATTCAGCCCAAGTTGGGGACAGTGATTCGATTAGTTGATTCAGATCACAGTTCCTGATTTGATTCGGCTGAATCCAAATCTGAAGATTCGATGCTGATTTGGAGAATCAGTAATTCGGCCACAAACACAGCTTTAAATGTTTTTTCTACATACCTCGAGGTAGCAGCATGGCTTGTGAATGCTGCGATGCTGGGGCGGAAGGATTGTTCCACAGGAATGCAGGGAGGGGGCCCCCCACATGCTCAGTGGTGAACCTGGAAATGGACCAGAAGTAGTTCTGGTCCACTTCTGGGTCTGCCAGGGAGCACGCAGGAGGGCCCCTCTGCGTTCCCCCAACTGGGCAACTGGCTGCAGAGGGATCCCAGGTGCCCCTCCCCGGACCCAGTCACCAAGCCGGGGGGACGCTCCAGCGTGTTCCCTGGTGGACCTGGAAGTGGACCCATAGTGCTTCTGGTCCACTTCTGGGTCTGCTGCCAAGCGTGCTGGGGAGCGCCCCCATGCTTCTGTGGGATACTCCATCCATTCCAGCATCGCAGCATTGATTAGCTGCCTGCTACTTTGAGGTATGTAGAAAAAGCATTTAAAGGTGTGTCTATGTCTGAATCTCCGTATTTCTCTGAATTGATTTGAAGGGTTCTGATTTAATTCGGAGAGATTAAAGGGTCCTCTCATTCGATTCAGATTCGGAGATATGGCTACTGAATTGGGCCAAATCTCTGCTGAATCGAATCAAGGACCAAAGCTTCACACAGCCCTACTGTCAAGGCTTTCACTTTGTATCTTGTTCTCAATTCCAAGATACTCAATTGTAGCAACTTCCTTCTCTACCCTGCTTTAAATTCAAAGCCACCATTTCTTGCATTTCACTATTTTTCTCTTCACTTCCAAGTTACAGGAGAATCATTTGTAAAAACAAATGCATTTGCACATGAAAAGAGAAGTAACACCAGAAAAATCTCCTCCGTTTCAATCACCTGGTTGTAACGCCATCAAACATGCCTGTATTGATGAAGTATGGACACGCAATGGTTGTTTTAATGCCAGTTTTCTTCAGAGCACGCATCTCTACATCAATGGTTTCTGCAAAGCCCACTGCTGCAAACTTACTTGCACAATAATCTGGGAAGCAAATAAAAGAGACCAGAGTTATTGTTTAGACATTTTTTTTGTGAAGGAAGCTTTGTTACAAACATGATGAGGTACTATTGCTTCTCCATATTCTATCTGTGAACAAACCAGGCAAAAACTCAGACCTCCTTTCTTTTGAGAGAAAGCGAGATGCTTTAATAGGAGCAATTTGCATACCTATAACCTTCATGTAGCCTACAGAATCAGGGTAAGAAATTCAGTTAATTTCAAGACACACACATCTGGTAATAACGAACAGCTCACCACAGCACAGGAACAATTACTCAAGCCAGGCTGGGTAAAGCTGTCATTGGCACTCTTCATTTCTCCCTCCCATTTGGAATTCCCCAATTACACACTCCATTTTCCCCTCAACTCCACCTCATTTGCTAGCTCATGTTAAACTCTCTGGTGCCCCTTCATCTTCCCTCTGCACTCTCTCAGTCAAAATGCATTCCCATCCCCTGGTTCATGCTCACAGCTCTAGCTGTGCCTCCCATGTCTTGTTGCTCCTCTGATACAGCCTGCCCAGAATAGGGAGAATTCCTCCCAGTTTTTTCTCCCAATCATCAAATCATAGAAAATGACGTATTGAAGGGACCTCAAGAGGTCATGTAGTCCAACCCCCTGCTGAAAGCAGGACCATCCCCAACTAGATCATCCCAGACAGGGCTTTGTCAAGCCAGGCCTTAAAAGCTTTCCAATGAAAACTGTCTAGCTCCATCCTCTTTGGACCCACCCTTCAGGTAGTTAAAGGCTGTTATCAGATCTATCTCCTTCACCTCATTTCTCCAGCATTAAGGCACAACCTTTCCATCATTACTGTCAGCTTCTCCTCTTCTCTCCTACTGCCTTATATCACCAACATCAAGGGTTTGTCTGCTAGCCTTAGCCCAGGAGCAGGCAAAGTCCAGCTCACGGGTCAGATCTGGCTGGCAATGGACTCCAGGCTGGCACCTGCCTGAGTGGTGAATTATAGTATTATTTAAAGTCTCTTTTATATTTAGCCTTATTTTATCATTGCTTAAGTTTTGTATAGCCTCATTATTATATGAATTTTTCATTTTGCTTGTGCCTGTAATGTCAGATGATTTTGAGTTGTTCTTGAAAGCAGCTTACAGCCTCTTGCAGGCATCTTATGGCCTTGAATTTTGCTTGCATGATGTTGCTTTTCTTTTCTATCACTGTGAGAAGTTTGTCAACATAACATAGAAATAAGTCTTGTTACCAGCTCAAATCAACTGAATTTGGCACTAACTGGCTGAATCAGAGGGATGGAATGATTGGCTATGTTAATGAAAGGTGGTAAGAGAAGACCCATGAATATTGTCCAGACTGGGACACCGGAAAAGGCCAAATTAAGAGGTATGTGTGTGATGGGTCTGTTGAACAAAGAAATATGCTGACAAGATAAAATATGGACAGTATACTGACTCATGGAAAACCAATCCAGAAGCAAAGAGTCATCAGAGGAGTGAAGTTGAGGAAAAGCATAAAAGGGGGAAGGAAAACAGTTCAGTGTGCGTCAATATAAATCTAGCCTTCAACACCTGTCTGGACCATCCCAGCCAACGATGCACCCTCTGCTTTCAGGAACCATTTGGCCACCTTTTCTGTTGAGCAGAGTAACATCTAGGATTGGGTGAGATCATTGTACTGTTTTTGTCTCTGTATACAGAAACTGCTAAAATAACATTTTTTTGTATCAATAAAGTCAGACTTTAGTTGAATTGATATGTGTTTTCATATTTCACATCCATTTAAGGGTTAATTGTGCTTTAATGATCCCTTAGCACCATCTAGTGGACAGTGGTGCTAACATAGCATCCTTTACCTTGTATTCAGCAGGGGGTTGTTTTTGTTTTTTCTTTGTTAGTATAGCCCTCCATACCTCCTTCCGTGCCTTCATTTCCTGAGCTACTATACATTGTCTTGAAATATGGGCCCAGAAACAATGTATAAGTGAAATGTTGCTCTGAAACACCACATATTTTTGCACTACAAAATGACTGTATAACAACAGGAAAGCTAGGCACCTGTGAAGGATAATGTTCTTATTGCTCTTTGAATTAAGCATTACTAGACATGCTTGTTGCATTCCCCAAGCCCAATGTGTGTGTTCATCAAGTCTGACTTCTCTGGCAAGAATTTCTGTAGGCGAGTTTGCACTAGTTAGTTATCAGAGCTTTCAGTTAAGTTCTTAAATCCTTCAGGCATCTATGTGACTGGCCTAATGTTCAGCTATACCAAGCAAGTAGGATGGAGGATATGGGTGTGTGTGTGGGGGGACAGTGTTACAAGGTATTCACAGGATTTAAAAGTCAAACTTCGTATTTAGGCACCAAAACTAACCATTCAGCCTTTATTATTGAAAATCCTCACCTATAGGAAGAAACGTATTTTTGGTAAAACATTTACCTTTATTTCCATGAAGACAGTCCTTTAAAAATATACTAACCTGCAAGCTCATTGGTGCCAAAGAGTCCTGCTGCGCTTGCAATACTAACCAAATGTCCATGGTTAGAGGCAATCATAGCTGGAAGGAAGGCTTTGTATGTCTATGAAACATGGGGGAAAGCCACAATTAACCACTAAACATTTCCTACTAATATTTCACATTTATCAGTTCAAAGGAGAGTACTATGTTAGAATGAATCCTGCCAGGAAACTTCTGCTCACAACAAGCCATAACACACACAGTTAGCTGCACTCTAGACTGCACAAGACAGGGCAGGAAGTTCATCATCTGCACATGGAAGCCAGACTCATCAATATATTTTTGTTCCCTCATGTTATCAGTTACTGGAAATAAGGTAGGAACTAGTTTGTTGCCAGCCACAGAGCACTTTATGAAACAAAGATGTTCTCTAAGATGCAGGCTTCCTATGCATATGAGCTCAGCACATCAACTTTTTTCCATGTGGGCTGCCGATGTGAAATAAAACCACCACTCCTTAAAACAGCAGTCAGGAATGGGAAACCTGAACTTCTAACCTTCCCCCCGCTGTCACTTGTGGATTGTACCAGTTTTTCCATTTGAGGGAAAAACGTGGAAGAACAGTATGGTTTTATAAGCCCTCCACAGTTCTTTGTATACAATACTGCTCTCATGCATGCAGAAACACAACTCAAATTACTTTCCTTTGTCACAAAGTAGTCATGTGTGCCAAAGTATATGAGATTGACATTTAGGACATCTAGCAATGCTATTACCTGGGCCCACATGCATGTAGGGTGTTTAAGTGGTAACATCTTACTTAGTTGCCTAACTTCCCATTGATTTTACAAGGAATTTGTGTGTCTGAATAAATCTGGAGTCCAGTTTCCATTTCTAACTGGAAGCTTGCATTATTATCTGTAGTTTGTCCAAATAGTCAGAATAGGTCCTACTTCTCTCTTCATGATAGCAGCCAATAGATCTTTTCTGGTAATGAAGCAACCAGCATTTTGGCTTAGCTATACAAGCTCAATGTCCTCCTTCAAATTTGGCAGACAGTAAGGCTGATAAGAGTTATTCCAGCAGTGCTTCTGAATACAACAAGCCTACCCTGGGAGGTTGCACATGCTTTCTCTCTAAGCCAAGTCAAGCTCCATGCAAATAATAGGGGCTGCTGCCATTCCTCCAATCTCCGGGTTGCCTCCTCCTCTACACGAGAGGCTTACGGATATGCCACAATTTGAGAGTGTGGCCTCACAACTGCACACAAGTGTCCAATTCCCAATTGGGGGAAAAAAATCTTGGTTCCCACTCAAACGAGACAAATATAACCCTTCTCTCAACTGCTACCACCCATATCCTTCTTTTGGTGTCAGTAAGCTTATCCTTAAAAAAAAAAAAAAAGTTACCCAGAAATGTGCCACTGCATTCACTTCCATGGTTTTCTGCATAAGGGAATCTGGAGATTCAATAAATTTCCTTCCAGTTACAATACCAGCATTATTGATTAGGATGTTAACATCGCCAACTTCTTTTTTCACCTGGACATAAAAAGATAAGCTGTCATACAATAGCCTTAACTATTTTAAAAAGCATGTTTCATATTTACATCAAAATTGGCAACCTTTCCACATCAGGCTTTTCCCTCTGTCTTTCTCTAGTACTGTATCCCTCTGGGGTAGGTCATACACTTTTTTTTTGGGGTAGGGAATGGTGTTGAATTTCAGCACCTTTCTCTTTTTAGGAACCCCTGTTGGGGACTTACCTGTTAGCAGCCATACAGCTAGCAGATATTTTGCTGCAATGCAGGACAACCTTTCCAAAATATACCACCCGTGTTAGTTAAGTTAAACATAGGGTTTTAGTGTCTTTAGGTTCTAGTGGAAAAAAACATATCTGTACTGGCAAGATTTCTCACCTGGCCACCCCAACAATGTAGGATTGTGTCACTCACTGCACAGGCAGAAGCTCACTTAAGCCAGTACTTTGACACCTCTGTTCTCTCTTTTGAATTACAATCATCCTGTTTTCAGAGGTTGCACTCTGATACTACAGCCTGAGTGACAGTACACCTTCCTGACAGCTCAGGGGTTATCAAAGACCAACCAGTGCTGGCAGGGAAAAGGTTCAGGCGGCACAAGCTGGGATGGGCCAGAGTCTGGTCCCCTCCTGCTCCCAAACTGCAGAAGTCCCAAACCTGCCAGGATCTGACAAAAACCACTACCGCTCCCCAAGCCGACACAGCCCCGCTGCCATGCCCTGTTCCTGGAGATACCACCCCATCCCCCATTCCAGGCCTGCCTCCTCCCCCCACCATTCCCAGAGACCTCCACTCTCCCCCACTCCGCATTCCCAGCCTCCCACTAACTCCATCCTACATTCCCAAAGACCCCTACACATTTTCCATTCCCAGAGACCCTCCTCAACCCATTCCCATTCACAGCTCTGCCCAGCCCCGGCCCCCCACCCCATTCCCTACCCCCTCATGCCACCTCAAAGAGCCCTACTTGGATCGCTGGCCCATGTATGGGGCAGGTGGGTGAAAGGGTCTCAGATCCCAGTGGGGCCAGATTTTGGATAGGAGGGTATGATGTCTGGAAGACTCACCCCACCCCTCCCTTCCCCAAACTGCAGGGATCCCAACTCGACAAGGACCAGGGACTCAATTCCCTATTACTCGTGTTGCAGAGTTCTCAGGAATGCTCAGCAAGAACACTATAAGATATTTTGATAGCTGATTATTTCCCTCACCATGTCTCCAGCCTTTTGCAGAAAAGTCTAGATTCCAAGACATGCCCATCATATGTGGTAGAATCCTCCCAATATTTGCCTGCTATGTTACTAGAAATATGTTTTAAATGTGAAGTGGGGCAAAGCCCAACCATCAATAAATGTGAAGCCAAACTATCAATATAGAATTTTAAAATAATTCTATTACCATGTTGATGAATATGAGATGCCCATTTTTCCAGATGGTCTCCCATAATTCAACCTGAATTTCTGATTTGATGTCAACAGTCCACTTGGAAAGCAGAGTTCTAGTGTCATGGCTAGAGGTCCTCCTGTCCATAATCTCTCCCTGCATTCACACCCCCAGGCTGCAATACCAATCCTGTCCTTGCTGTCCTCTCCCTATTTCTCGATGATCAAACTATTGTCTTGCCTTCTATACCTCCACGCTGTTTGAGTACCCAGAATAGTATCAGTGAATGGCCAGGAGAAAGTCTCTTTGTTTTTAGTGTTGATACTTGGTGCCACAGCTCCCCTCAGCATCTGAGTAACAATTCCAAGCAAAATAGTCTAGCAAAACAGCGCCTGAAACCTGAAAAGCCTGTCATGTATCATGAGCTGCTTTGTGGGGATAGCACGTCTGCATGTATGAGCTGTGAAGGGGATGAAACATACTTAATGCAAAGAGAATCTGCGAATATTTCCAGCTTCAAACAAGCTTTCATGGACCATCTGTACTTTCTGCTTAAGACCAAACAGATGGGTTGAGGGGTGGAGAAAAGGGGGAGGGGAAGAGGTGGTGAGGGAGTGGGGAAAATAGAAAAGGGAAAAAGCACTTGATATCAGGATAACTCTCCCGACACAATACTGCTGCCACAGAAACCATGGAAGCTCTAGATCTTCTCAACAAAACCAGGTGTAGTAGAAACAACTTTTAAACATAAGGAAAAATGCTTTAGTTTAACCTAAAGTTATTCCCAGACATGACTGAACCATTTGACCTGAAGCAAACAAAAGTTTATAGCCAACTCTTTTTTATGTTTTAGTGTTTTATGCAATGGGAAACAGATTCTTGTAATGGAAGACTTTCATGAAACTTGGCTGTAGGCATTATTACCAACACCAGTTACTAAATCTGTATAGCTAAGAAATGAAAGCCTGCAATAGTTCAGCTTCCATGTTGTATTCGTTTTAATCAAATCTCGCTCCACATCTTTTCAAATTTCCATGAGCAATTCTATATTTGGGTAAAAAGGATTAACCACTTATAAGAACAAGGTACAACTACTTTCAGTGCTCATTCTTGATAGAAGGTTGATCAACTTAAAGTCTAGCTTCAGTATCAATATACCGGTTTAACACGCCTAGAACAGAATTCTACCTATTGTTGTGCATCAAAAGGGCAGTGTTCCAGTTGCATGCCCATGTGGATTTTGCCTTGCCTTTCCACTGTGTATGCATGTGTGTGCCCATAGACTGAGAATGCACAGAAGGGCTAGGCATTGGCCAGGTATGTGCACACCTGAACATAAGTCCAGGGAAAAAGCAGGGAGAGAGAGAGAGAAGAGAAAAATGAGTAGACTTTGGTTTAGTTCTGATCACTCAGTGGTTCAAGCACTCAATCAGAAAGCCAGAGACCCAGCTTCTAGGCCTCCCCTGTGCATTCCCATTACAGTTTGGGAATCACCAAACCCCACCACATCACAGGCCAGGCATTATCCAGATCTTTCTCCAGAGCTCCTCTGGAAGCTGAACCACTGCCCCTTGCATTTCACAGTTACTGGAGAAAGAGGATAAAGAGCAGTGGAGAAGTTTCTATCCAATTGGGAGCAAGCCACTAGGTTGATGCCTAAAGCTGGCTCCTTTCCAGGACAGCAGTCATCTTACTTGGTTGTTCTTTTTCTCCTGGCCCCGCATCTCCCAGTCTCTTGGCTCCCCAGACCAGCAGGCCAAAAGTAGCACTTCAGAGAGGACTGGATATTTCCTTACTACCATGCCACAGGTTAAATGACTATGCTTTGAACCGAGATGCGGGTTCAAACTCCCTTAGAACCCAGGTTTGTGGCTTTTTGGGTAGTGTCCTAACCACACACATGCTGGGCCTAAAACCCAAGAATATGCTCTTACTTCTAACACACATTGGCAATGGGTTTCTGGCAAGTTATATTTTCATGACTGGGGCACAGTTATATGCACCTGCTGGATCAGCCTGAAGCCAACTGTGCATACTAAGTCAACACTCTCAAACTTATGTCCTTATTGCACGGGTTGGGGGAAGGGAAAGGAAGAGCTGAATATCTGTCTGCATGCAAGTCAAACACTCCATGTACGCGGCTAGAAAGCTGCCATTTAGATGCGCAAAGGGAAGTAGAATTTCACTCCTAGTAACTACTCAGCAACTGAAGCTACTTAGTGAAAGATCAACTTATATCCCAGCATCCCCTTTGCAGTAACCTAGGTTCAAATTAAGTCAGAAGGATTTTTCCCCTTTTTAGCAGGAAGAGGAATGCAAATAGTTTGCAGGGGAGGATGAGGAGAAAACACAAAGTAGTGTATGATCAAATCAACACTAGGCACTGCCAGTGTTGAAGACAGGCAGTGTATGTTCCATGAATTCTGGACCTACTAAGTTTGGAGACTTCAAGGCAGGAGGTCAATACATGATAATCAGATGTGTAACACAAAATAACTTAACAGGCATGAACTATTTTACCTGATCTGCAACTTTGTAGACCTCTTCCCTTTTGCTGCAGTCGCAGGCATAGGTGTGTACTCTCACTGCTCCAGCTTCCTTGGCTAGTCTACCAGTCTCCTTGTTACCTTCTGGATTGATGTCCCAAAGAACAAGGACAGCTCCAAGACGGGCAAACTTTAAGGCCACCAGTCTTCCAATTCCACTCCCTGCTCCTGTGATCAGCACTATTTCACCAGTAACATTCTTCTTTCGCCTGGGAATAACACACCGAACTAGAGACTCCAGCAGGTAATATATGGAGAGCACCAGGACTTTGAGCGTTTCCAGGAAGAGGTTCATTTTCCAGATGTTTTTTCAAACAGATACTAATGGAGGGTTAGAACAAATCAGAATATTTTTTCCACAGTTCTCAAATATCAAAGCCTACTACTTTGATGTGAAACTGACAAGTTGATCACAACTGTATTAGTACTGCTAACTACTCGCTCACCACCCTCCAAATGAATATCTGAGGCAGCATAAGCCAGCAAAAAAAAGTAACATGAACAAACATTCAGGCACTCACAAATGCCCTATTTGCCCAGTTCCCACTGACTTGCTTTTTTACAGATCAGCACACCATTTAGTTTATGCAAGATACCTGAATAGACATTTGATTATGTATTCTGTAATTATATTTGTGCTAATATATGGGAAGGGGGTGTCTTATTAAAAAAAAAGTATGTCTGGGATGTAGAGTAATTTCATAACTGAGTCTGTAGTGGATTCAATCTACAGTTTGTATCCCAGTATATCTTCTCCTCACTTTCTACCTCCCCTCACCAATTACGTTGATACAAAAAAATTCCTTGAAGATGAGGCTTACATTGGATATGTTTTTCCTTTTTATCAAGAAGCTGGGAATATGTTAAGCCATGGCTTTGCTCTACTAGAACACTTTTGTCAAAATACAATCAATTTCCCTAATGCCAACAAAACACTTCTGAAAAAGCATCTATTATCTCTGCTAGCTTTTTGAAGGTAATGACAATGGTGAGAAGTATGTACCTTTATAAACTCTCCCCAAACAAGCACTTGTGACTAAGCAAGCACACACTATAAAATATACTAGCTACTGACCTAAACTTTAATCTTACATTCAACTATGCTTGTAATTTCATGCTTACTGAAGAGACCACTGTATGTTAAATTAAGCACACCCCTTAAGTCTTCCCTGGATCACAACCTTACTTCTAACTCCATAACTATATAAATTCTAACTTTACACAACTGGAGGTTGAAATCTTTTCTGTAACTTCAATTTAAGAGCCTTATTACATGTTACATTTTGAGCTGCTCAAATGTTGATCAGTGTTAGTGTTACCTCCAGTTTGGAGCAATCACACCTTAAGCATATGCACAGCTATGACTTGCCACTAGATGGCTGGTGAGCAGGGGCCTGATTAGGAGCTACAGCTGTGAGTTGCTATTACAGGGCTGGTGAGCCAGGACGTTTCTATCCTTTGCTCTAAGTGGGTGCGTATAAGAGATGTGCCGTGGTGGGGGGACAGAGGCAGGAATGTGAAGCTATGAGACGGAATTAATAGGATGGGGTGGGTGATGAAATGGGAGGTAGAAATTAATTAATGGGATGGGATTGGGGTAGGGGAAGTATGGGTAGTGAAATGAAAGAAGTCATAGAAGTGAAAAAAAATAATTAAAAATAGATAAAGTAAATTGAAGAAGACTTAATGCTTAATATATTGGGATTTGGAATTGGAGTTTGGGGGAGTGCTGGCTGTGCTTCCAGGGTAGCTGGGAGGTAGAAGTGGTGAGGGAAGGAGCTTTTGGAACAGTTACTGCCTCTGGGCCAGGAAGGAAGACCCAGCTCATGGGAACCTGATCCAGCTCCCTAAATTGGTTTTCCTTCTCCCACCTTTCTTAAACCACACTCCTGGTCCCATCTGTGTCCTGCAACCAGGTTAGTGGGCATATGCTCTGCAGGCTGTTTGCACAGGGCTGCAGCTCTGGAGGTGGCAAGCTCATGCTCCAGGGGGCTAGAGGAGGAGTTGACTTGGCTGCCAGAACTATTCCCTGGACAGTAGAGTTGGGTGGGGGGAAGGGCAGGGAGGGGAGGTGGGAAGTTTGTCCACCCAGGAAAGGAAGGGGCACTGCATTCTGGGATGCTGGAGGAGTACAACTTGGGTAACACAGATCAGAGAGAAACCTGCCCAGGCATGGCATACCTTAAACCTAGTTTCAGGTGTTGATGTGTGGACAATCCAGGGGTTAAGAGCTCTAGATGCTACTTAAAATCATGGGTGACTGGTGCCTCCTGAGTCTGGTGGGGCACCATCAGGGCATGATGGGGAGAGGGGGGGGTCCTCCAGCAGCCAGCTGGCAGCTGCAGAGGCAATTTCGGGGGGGCAGCACTAGTGTTCTCCAGGCCCCCCTACCAGCCACAGCGCTCCCAGTCAGGGCAGGCACCAGTGCTCTCAGGGGGTGGGGGGCACAGGGCCCCCCTGTGCCCTCCCTACACATCACCTATGTTTAAAATTAAAGTGTAACAAGGCCCTAAGAATCAATATTTCCTTATCAGCTGAGGGCCAGGTTGCTGCAGATTAAAACTTCAACCTTTGAATCTGAGACCAAGTTTTTGACCTGGTTACCTCCTGTTGTGTACACTGCTATGCACACAGACAATAGTGCTAGACACAGAGATCTTTATTAAGATGGTCAAAACTTAGTGGAAATAGCATGTTAGTGCTCTCAAACTATTGCTGGGCATGTCATGTTTTAGTAGAGGCAGAAGCAGTTACAACTGCAGGAAGACAGCTACGCAAATGTGAAGGGGTCATTTCAGAAAGGCTTTGGATAAACAGTAGGACATCCTTCCCAAGGATATTCTGGGGCCCTGCAGAAAAATCTCTTTGAGAGAGAACATGGCAGAAATAGTTAAAAGGAAAAGTTTATATTTCTGAATGAGCATTATAGAAGGAAGACTCTTCCTTTTCTTTAAAGAAAAAAAAAAAGA